TATTTTGTACATTATATTAAAATTCTTCATTTACAGGAAATAATCAATAGTGTATGAAGGTGTATTGCACGTACTATTTGGCACGTACATTAATGTTGATGCAAAAATGATTATTCCAATGATATTAAGTTACACACATAATAGATAAAGTAGGCTGTAGACTATGAAATTCGTATGAAATAAGCAGAGAATAGTAACTAAATAAATGTATATGTATATGGAATATAAATCTTGTAAAAATAATATATTAAATTACATTCAATTCAACTATATGAACAAGATCTATTGACTTTTAATTATTTTTTTGAAGCACTAGTATCAAAGAAAATTGCGTCATTACGAATACAAAAACAATAACGTTGATGTAAAAATGTCATCCCGAAACACAGTTTAACGTGATACAAGTGTATTATTTTAATTTAAGCAGAAAATATCTAATCATATAACAATTTTGAAAAACATACCTCTACTAAACTATCATTATCTTTTCCTATACATGCGTTTGATGGGTCTTCCCGAGTCGCCCATGGGTTCTTCGGAATCCCTCTTTCGCTTGCGCTGAAAACAACACAGTATATTTTAAATAAAACGAAACAAAACGAATCAAGCGGACTAAAAACAAGACTAAATACGTACCAGGGAAGTCTGGATAGGAACCTCTGATGGAAATGACTCCGCAAACATTGTTCGAACGACGATCACCGAAGCCTAGGGAAATAACAAAAGGAAAAACGATCAAAATCACAAAAACAACCATAATATGCGAATATCCAAACTTACGAAAAATAACTCGAAGGAGGAGGTCCTTGTTATGGGAGAGCAGCGGAATTGCGTGTGTTGCCCGAGCAAACATTGAAATGATAATGATGCTGTAGCCACCAGCCCTTGCACGCGCCGAAGAAACACCAGTAATTCCCACGGTACAGCACGTGGAAATCTCTCGCGGAAAGGACTAGATCAGCGTGGAATGTTTCAAATTTCCTAGACGCTAGCTCAGCAGAAACACAGGACCGATAAAAACTAAGTCGAAATACGGAATTTACATTTTGTTTACATTTTGTCACGTACGATTCCAA